AATAGAGATGTTTATTAACCACCTTTGATTATATATATCATCACTTCATCCTCTTAGATCTCATGTTGCCACATGGATGGATCCCCCCTGCTTTTTATGTGGCTGTCATTCACTGCTCTTTTCACAAGGAAAGAACGACTTAAATCAAGCATGTCCAAAAAAAAAAAAAATGTCTGCAGCTGCCTTCCACACTGAAACTTCACCAAAGACGAACTCTCCCGCAGCTCAGTCTTTGGGGATGAAAAATGAAACAGCAATCATAGTGATAACAGGTCTGAGGAATAACATACTGTGGAAGGCAGGGAGAAGAGAAAAGTTTTGACAGCTTTTCCACAGGGAATATCAAATCTAAAAAAATACTGTGATTGGAGGCACAAAGATAGAGAGACAGAGAGAGAGAGAGAGTCGCTGGCTCAGTTTGACAAGCTAAAACTGTCTTTTCTGACATGTACTTTTCTACTTCTTCATGTGTCATTCAAACTCTCATTTATCCACTCAAATATAAAAATGACTTCTTAAAAAGCTCTAAAGTGCTTAAAAAAAAAAGAAGCATATACCAAGTCTTATTGACTTTAAAAGCATCCAGCATCACATTGTGTGGCAGCAGTCATTTCACCACACAGAAATTAATTGTGGAGCTCTATTACAGATCTAAGGGACTCTGTGTCAGTCGTGGAGATATTAAAAGGTCACAGTGAATGAAGATGTTTGCACAAACTATACATGACTAATTGAATATCTGTAAATAGATTCCCTCGGGAAATTTTGCAGCCTCTGCTGTTCATGCATGCACTGGATTCATTTACCTTCCTGTTACTGATGTAGAGGTTTGTGTCAATCTTACTGACATATTAAAAGGTCAGGTAAGTGAAGATATTAAATTAAAACAAGCCCACAGTCACCATATGAGGCTTTTATGCTTGTGTTTAAGAAAATTGTAAGAGGAATAAAAGTTGAGATAAAAAGTCAGTAGATCACCAAAGTTATTACAATTCATGATAACACTGCAGTGCAAACCTGCAATCAATCAATCATTTACTGTGTAACTACAATTTTGATCTGCTAGCTCCCTTTCTCTCAGCAAAAAAACATCAGGGACCTGCAGAGGACAGTGACTTTAGGGGGCATGGCCTTGACACCGACCAGAGTGATTGAGAGATTGACCACAGCAGTGTAGCAGAAACACCGAGCTGTTGAGCAGCTGCTGTCACACTCGCCGTGTCCGCGCTAGAAAACAGCAAACTAGTCTGCTGGAGATTTTAAGGTCCATTGAAGCACTTTGACGGTTGTTTGTAAAAGTTTCTGTGTGGTTCTTGTATTGTAGCTAAGCTCAGAAAGGCTAACTCTGCAGTATGTGAGTGGGTCCATCGGGGGGACTGTCAGTGCGCGGGATTGTGGTAATTATTGCAGTCAATTGGTGTTTCTACAGCATCTAAAGCACACGTCCAAACCACTGCAGCATAAAAATACTAGCAAAAAACTCCTGTGAATGATGCACCTCGATCGGTATACATTTGAAAATGAGCGCAGCAGTTTCACGCGGAAGCTTGAGGAGGAGGGCCACCCTTCTCTGATTAAAGGAGGCACTGTTTCTTTATATAATTGTTGTGATGTAGAGTTGCCACAAACGGTCGACTCTATCTCAGCATTTGTCTTAAAACGTAAAAAGTGTAAATCACCCTTTACGTTTTTAAGACAGTAGAGGGTGTGTTGAGCCATTTTTAACCCACAAAATGCAGATTTTCATGAATTTTATAATAATGTCAATTTGAACACAAATATTGATGTGTATCATCAAAGTACAGTCATATAATTCAGTTTACAGCTCAAAAAACACATTTTAGGGTCGAGTACAGTAACATTGTTCCTGATACTTAAATGTAGGTAGTGGAAGAAAACGTTGAGGAACACAGTAGTAAAAAATGGGCATTTTAGAGGAAAGGAGAAATAAACTAGACTGTACGTATTTTTGGAAATACTTGGTACCCACACGGTACAGCACTGGGAAACAAAACTGAAGTTTGGGTGTAATGGTGTGAACAACACTGATATTCTGTGAAAATAATTATGATTTAACATATTTCACAGTTACAATATGCAACTGAAACGGCACAGATACAGTAAGTTAACAAGGATTTGGGTAAATCAGTGGCAGTCACCAGTGTTTTGGTACAGCAATTTCGGTTTGGGGTAAGCAGCTTAAAGAAAAGGGGGTACAAATCTATCATCATTGAGGGACTTATAGGGGATTTAACTGATTAAATGCTATCCTACTGCATACGCAATTTAGCCTTCCAGCTTTGATAACAGCCTACAGCAATAAAAACAATTTATTTTGCTGTTTGATCATGGCAGTTATTAGTTGCCCCAATGGACAATCAGGTGTTCATCTGGAGTGCCACAGATATTTAGTTGTTATAAAACACATTTGAGTACCAGTTGCATCTGGTAAGTATGACAGATTTCATGGTGATCCACCCTATGAGTTTATTTATCTATTATATCTCACTTACCGTATCTTTCACTTAAAGTAAATGTCAAACTCTTGGGGACAAAAAAGTCGGGGGATTACCAAAGTAATTTGGGTTCATCCTCTGGGGGACCATGAATGTCGCTACAATATTTTATGGCCATCCTATTGTTTAAAGGTATTTTAGTTTGGACAAAAAAGTAGGGGGCCGAGCATCCAACATTGCCATCCCTAAAGATACGCCGTTACTGTGGCTAAGAAATAAATATAAATTATATATAATTAAAATATATTCTCATGACAAATCACAAATGAAAAATAAGGTGCTACCTCTGTGCAATATTACGAACGCAAGTTGTAATTATATTTTCATTCATCCTGTCGCGACTGTTCATGGCTGCATCATTTATATGATGTTTTTTACATCAAGCTTTGTTAAAACGAGATTTAATTGTTTGTATATTAATGGTTTCCCAGAAAGTATTTGGACTTGTCTAATCAGAGAATGTGCCACTTTGTTCAGTAGATTTCTATGAGCTGCCTATAGCTAAAGGGCTGTGCAAATGAGGCAACATTGATTGATCGCCACTTCATTAGGTAATATGAAATAAAGGGGCGAGAGGTACAGGAGGGGAGAAAGTAATGAAGCAACATAAAGCGCTGCTGTGTTTGAAACCTAAAGGGCCCCTTAGCACATTATTGTGAAATGAGTCAAAAAATGAGAAAGCAAAATTAGGACATTAGTTATGACTATGACAAGCCTGACATCGGGTGTTGCTGCACCGAACGCCACAAGGCTCCGGAGCCCCGGGGGTCCAATCAAATGCACTGTAGTCAGTACACCTACTGCGGCCTTCAACTCTTAGATAAGAGCTTTCTAGAGCCAATTGATGGCGTTGTTATTCGGATAGTGGAGCCAGTTTGTGTGCACAGCATTTTCTGGCTTTGTCTCAAAGTGACGGGGATCCGCTAGGAAGCAGCGCAATTAGCCACAAGGACACTGAGACATTGTTCTCTTTCTCTCCATCCAACCTCTCCTCTGCCTTGTCATTTGTACACCTTTCTCTGTGTCTGCCCCATCCTCTGGTGTGCATTAAAATACAATGAATGCACAAAACAGTGGGGACACTTTCTCTTTTTAGTAAGTGCAGTGATGAGGTGAAACCTGGTAAAAGCAACTCTTTTGTTCACTTAAGCCAGTGCCACTAATGAGGAGACTATGCTAAAGCTGAGGGGACAAGTTAATTCAGTTTTTTTAGGATTAGGATTTGTAAGTGTGGATTGTGAAAATGTTTAGAGGATAACTCAGATACTTAATGTTAGATATTATAGATGTAGAAAAGCTCCTGATTAGTTTATTCTGTTGTTGTAATGACTTAATCTGCTGTACACTATGTTAGCTAAAGTTCTCACTCTGTTATGTACTAAACAGGACTAGTGGGCACTGATCTCAATTTACAGATATCCAGTTGCTGAAAGCAAATGTTGTTTTTGGGTATTTGCTGGAACGATTGATACTGTCTCAAAATGAGACACCTTTTAGGAACTGGTTGCCTAAAATACTAAACAAACAGCAGTTCATAGGCTTTTTTATATTGTGCCTGGATTTTCTTTTTGTTCACGAGACAATTTTTTTTTTGCAGCTAGTACAGTTAGCATATGCAACAGTGCACCAGTAAGTAACTCCCTGTGTTACAAGAGAAAAGGTCCGCTGATACTTTTGTCCCAGTGACGAGGGGCAGTATCTGACTAATGAAAAGTGCTATGACTAAGACTCTTCTCAGCGACTAACCATTATGTCGACTACTAGGGGGCAGCACAAACAGAAATATCCTTCAATCAAGGGACTGGAGGTTGACACCTTGCTCAAGGGAACCTACTGCCAAATTAATCCCATCCATTTTCCCCACCAAGAGTTTATGAACTAGTACCTTCCACAAAAGTAGACAAATGTAAGAGTTTGGGAGTTACACTCTGCCTTTTTCCCCGTGTCCCTCTCAGCCCTCTAAACCTGTTTGTTTGAGGAGTGTAAGATTGACAGTACTGGGGCAGAGCTGTACTGCCCTGGCTCTTTTTTTCCATCTAGTTGCCGGCACAAAGCACATTGTTTTCCCTTCGGATTGGGAGTCTTGGATTCTGGGCAGTAGACCTTATTAACATACAGTAGAGCTCTAACATATGCCTGGCACCAGTGTTTTGTATGTAGGATGGTTTCTAGCTGTGTTGGGTGTTAAGGGTAATTCATCTTTGTTTGATTCTGTGCCAAGTCCATGAATTCACCGCTATTACAATACCCTGCACTGATATTGTATATTGACAGTGCTATTATATGTATTATCTGTGCATTATGTTTGTCCAGATTCAGTATCCAATAGCAACCTACATTTTTTTCTTCATTTTCCATAATGAAGGTTTTTCTGCCTTCTTGCACCTTGGTATTGTGTCTGAAGTACAGTGATCTTCTCAAATGTTTGACATACTGCCTTCAGCATCCCTGAGTATTTGCTTTAACATTGTCTCTCTCCTTCAGGTGGTGGTGAAAACTCGCACAGAGTATCAGACAGAGAAGAAGAGGCTGAAGGTTCCCAAGGTGGAGGAGTTCACCATCAGTTTTACTGATGGGGTGTCTGAGAGACTTAAGGTAAGAAGTTGTGATGAAAGCTAGGGATGTATTGATTTAATATGCCTGATTGGTATCTGCACTGATCCTGACCTTATTAAGGGAATCTGGGATTGGTCATTATGTAAATACAGTTTTCTGTCAGTATCATCATACAGATTCTGTTTCCACAATCAGTTGCATGCATGCAGCTGTGATACCCTAAGTTCTGTATCGGGAAGGAAAACAGTTGCATCGTCGTTTTGCTAAAAAAAAAACATACTGTACTTGATCTGTGATTCAAAAGTGTAATGGCTGCTCAAGTAGAACATTCCTGTGTGTGGATTGGCTTTAACCAAAAGCAAGATATTTATTCATCTGACATTTCCCCCTCGGCTTACTAAAATTAACTCAGTGTGACCAGGTTGAACTGCCAGTTTGGTTTAGAAATACACTTATTGACTCAGACAGTTTGCTGTATAAACACTCAAGAGTTAGATATGCAAGCAGAGCTGTGGACCAACAAATGGAAGAATTGGTAATGATATGATCATCTCATGCACACATGAACATTATCTGTATATAGAACTGTATATAGGCTGAGTAAAAAATTTGAAGTATTTGTACTCCATGTACAAATTTGTGTAGCGGCCATGTTTTTTCTTCTTTCCTCCATTAATAATCTCACAACAGTTTTATCTGTGTGACCCTTTGGACTGGCCTGACCCATTGGTTGGACAAAACTACTTGTCTGTATCTAAAGAATGGAGCAGATTATGAGTAGTTCCAAGTTGTCTGTTCTAGTCTGGCTCAGGTGGCGTTTGGACATAAAATCATGTGTGGATCTGAAGTTTCTAATCTTAACACTTGTTGCTGTCAGTCGTTCTCATACTGATTTTTTGAAACAATTTGATATTTACTTTGGCGACCGATGTCATCACTTGTGATGGTAAACAGCTTTACCTATTGTGAAGTTAGCATTGTTTTACAAATTTAACTCACCTCTAGATCCCTCTGTTAGCTATACAGTCCTTGTGGCTCATGCCTGTCCATCCAGGATCTCACACAAACTCATTTCCCTCCTTTTTTGGCCTTTGTAGTGCAAATTGCAGTTTAGTGTATTTAATCAGCCATAAGGTTTATGCTTCTCCCTGACAAACACTAAAGTTGGTGGAAACAATCTTTATGTGCTGTTTGTCCAGTCTTTGTAGCTTTTGGCCGGTTTTCAGGTTTGTCCCAAGCTTAAAGTAGATAAACCGTCCCCCCTTATAGTACAACAGTAACATGCTGCTTACACTTAATATATAGTGTGATTTACAAATATGTATCAGCAACATGAGATATTTTACTGAACAAGTACTTTTACTTTTGATACTTCTTATGTATTTTGCTGGTCATACTTAGGTAGGTGTATTTTTACTTTGCTGTATTGCTACTTGTACTTAAGGAGCCAAGTACTTGTTACAACACTAATCTTCCCTGGCAAAGAGTAGGACAGGTGACTTCAGCTGTGTGTGTGAATCACTGAGATACCTTTCCAAAAACATCTACATCACTAGGCGCTGTCTGTTCCGTTCTTCTGTCGTTAGGGGAGACCAAAGAGAAGTCATGTTGTCATGGCAGCAAAGAAAACCTCCCTCCATGGCAACCCTGACAGAAAGCGAGGGAGAGAGAAGAGAAAGTGCTAAAGCAGAGGTGTGCAAATGTCTGAGTGTAGGTGTATGTGTGTGTGTGGGAGAGAGAGGTGTAGCACTGGCCTGAAAGATCCTTCAAAGCGAAGGAGAACAGAATTAGATATCAGACACCAAAAGAGGCTGTGAAATCTGTTTGGATGAGACAGTGTGTTTACATGCACACACACACACACACACACAAACACACACACACACACACAACACTATATTCACACACTGCCACAC